CTGCAACATCTGCCACATTGCCCCCCCCCCTATCCACCCTGTCATATGCCTTTTCCAAATCCATAAATGCCACAAAGACCTCTTTATCCTTATCTAAATACTGTTCACTTATATGTTTCACTGTAAACACCTGGTCCACACACCCCCTACCTTTCCTAAAGCCTCCTTGTTCATCTGCTAATTTCCCATTCTCCGTCTTACTCTTAATTCTTTCAATAATAACTCTACCATACAAATTTGCCAGGTATACTCAACAGACTTTTTTTTTTTTTTTTCCAACAAGTCGGTCGTCTTCCACCGAGGCAGGGTGACCCAAAAAAAAAGAAAGAAAATCCCCAAAAAGAAAATACTTTCATCATCATTCAACACTTTCACCACACTCACACATTATCACTGCTTTTTCAGAGGTGCTCGAATATAACAGTTTAGGGGATATACGTATAGATATAACAACATATCCCTCCAAACTGCCAATATCCCAAACCCCTCCTTTAAAGTGCAGGCATTGTAACTTCCCATTTCCAGGACTCAAGTCCGACATATGAAAATAACCTGTTTCCCTGAATCCCTTCACTAAATATTACCCTGCTCACACTCCAACAGATCGTCAGGTCCCAAGTATCATTCGTCTCCATTCACTCCTATCTAACACGCTCATGCACGCTTGCTGGAAGTCCAAGCCCTCACCCACAAAACCTCCTTTACCCCCTCTTTCCAACCCTTTCGAGGACGACCCCTACCACTCTTTCCTTCCCCTATAGATTTATATGCTTTCCATGTCATTCTACTTTGATCCATTCTCTCTAAATGACCAAACCACCTCAACAACCCTCTTCTGCCCTCTGACTAATGCTTTTATTAACTCCACACCTTCTCCTAATTTCCACACTCCGAATTTTCTGCATAATATTTACACCACCAATTGCCATTAGACAGGACATCTCCACTGCCTCCAACCGTCTCCTCGCTGCTGCATTTACCACCCAAGCTTCACATCCATATAAGAGTGTTGGTACTACTATACTTTCATACATTCCCTTCTTTGCCTCCATAGATAACGTTTTTTGACTCCACATATACCTCAAACGCACCACTCACCTTTTTTCCCTCATCAATTCTATGATTAACCTCATCCTTCATAAATCCATCCGCCGACACGTCAACTCCCAAGTATCTGAAAACATTCACTTCTTCCATACTCCTCCTCCCCAATTTGATATCCAATTTTTCTTTATCTAAATCATTTGATACCCTCATCACCTTACTCTTTTCTATGTTCACTTTCAACTTTCTACCTTTACAACACATTCTAAAACTCACCCACTAACCTTTGCAATTTTTTTTTAGAATCTCCCATAAGACAGTATCATCGAAAAAAGTAACTGGTCAATACCCTTTTTGAATTTGATTCCCCATAATTTAATCCCCCCCCCCTTCCCAACCCCCTAGCATTTATTCTTTTACAACCCCATCTAAAAATAATTAAACAACCATGGTGACATTACCACCCTGTCTAAGCCCTACTTTTACGGGGAAAGTTTTCTCCCTCTCTTCTCCCAACCCCAACCTGACCCTCACAATCCTCATAAAAAGCTTTTTTACAGCTTTTTAGTAACTTACCACCTATTCCATATACTTCCCAATCCCACATTGTCCTCTATCCCTCTATCATATCCCCTTTTCTAAACCCATAAAGCAATAAAAATTTCCCACCTTTATCAAATACTGTTCACATATATGCTTAAATGTAAACATTTGATCTACACACCCCTACCCACTCGGGAACCCCCCTTTGCTCGCCCAATTTTACTTCTGTTTACCTCTATTCTTTAAATTTAAAACCCCTACCGTATACTTTTCCTGTATATAGTAAACTTTTTCCTCTAAAATTTTTTTACAATCTCTTTTTCCCCTTTTCCTTTATATAAAGGAGTATACTGCTCTCCGCCAATCCCTGGGTCCTTCCCCTCTTTCATACATTTATTAAACAAAAGTACCAACCACCCCAAACACTATATCCCCCCCTGTTTTTAAACAGATTATCCCCCTATAATTTTTGCACTCTCTTTTGGCCCCCTTTGCCTTTATACAAAGGAAACTATGCATCTCTCTGCCAATCCCTAGGTACCTACCCTCTTCCAAATTTTTTAAATAATTTGCCCCAACCACCCCAAAATCTATATCCCCCCCTGTTTTTAACATTTCTATTTTTATCCCATCAATCCCGCTCCCTTACCCCCTTTTTCCTTTTCCCTACTGCCCACAACTTCCCCCACACTCACAACTGGCTCTTCTCCTCCTACAAAAATTATTCCTCCTTCCCCTATACACGAAATCCAGCTTCCCCATTTTCATAAACTTTTAAAACAATCCTCAAATTTCCCTCCATTTCCCAATACCTCTAACTCTCCATTTAATAACTCTCCTCTCCTATTTTTAACAGAAAATCCATTTTTTCTCTGGGCTTCCTTAACTTTTTAATCCACTCTAAAACTTTTTCTTTTTTTTCAACATAATTTGTTGATAATACTCACCACTCTCTCTTTTTACTTTTTTTACTTGCTTACCATCTTTAAACCCTCTCTTTTTTTCCCTCCATAACTCTTCCCTCCTTACATCATTCTACTTTTTAAAAAGTTCTTTAAAATTTCTAAATTTTTTTTTCCTTACTATCTCTTTTCACATCATTCCACCAAATTGCTTCTCTTCCCCCCGACCCCCTTTCCTGTAACCACAAATTTTGCAAACACTCTAACACTACATTTTTTTAAACCCACCCCATACCCCTTCGACCCCCCTTTCCTATGCTTCATTAGCCCCCCACCCCCAATAGCTGTTTTTTTTTCTTACCCTAACGCCTCCCCTTTGTTTATAAAACCTTTACCCCTCTTCCCTGATGCTTCTTTTCTCCCCTTTTATCCCATCACTTTTTCTCTCAGTGTAGCTACAACTAAAAAATGATCTATCTGGGCCCCCTATAAACAGTCATCCAAAATCTACTCAACATCTTTTATCTACCAATACATAATCCAACAAATACTGCATTTTGCCCTACATCATATATTGATACTTATTTTTTCCTCTTTTTTTTTTAAAATATGATTACCCTTAACTAAACCCCTTTTTTAAAAGTTCAAACAAAGGGCTTTCCCCTATCATTCACCCGGGCCCCCAAATTATCTACCACACCCCCAAAAAAGTTTCTCCTACTTTTTGCCTCAGGTCCCCTACCACAATTTCTCTCTCACTTGGTTAAAGGTTCCTATACTTCACCCAACATCTCCCAAAATCTCTTTTCTCTCCTCTACATTCCTCCCTTTTCCAGTGCAACCGCTTCTATTCCCACTTTGCATCCAACCTTTACTTTAATCCCTATTTCTTGCATTTTCACATTTATATTCTCTTTTCCCCTTTTTATAATGATCCTTCAACATTACTGCACCCTTTCCCTTTGCTCTAACCTCTCAATACTCCAGATTTAATCCCCTTTATTTCCCCCCCACCCAAACCCCCCCCCCACCCCCCCTTCAGCTTTGTTTTGCTTAGGGCCAGGACATCCAACTTCTTTTCGTTCATAACATCAGCAATCATCTGTTTCTTGTCATCCGCACTACATCCACGCACATTCAAGCATCCCAGTTTTATAAAGTTTTTCTTCTTCTCTTTTTTAGTAAATGTCTACAGGAGAAGGGGTTACTAGCCCATCGCTCCCGGCATTTTAGTCGCCTTATACGACACGCATGGCTTACGGAGGAAAGATTCTTTTCCACTTCCCCATGGACAATAGAAGAAATAAGGAAGAACAAGAGCTATTTAGAAAAAAGAGAAAAACCTAGATGTATGTATATATATATATGCATGTGCGTGTCTGAAGTGTGACCAAAGTTTAAGTAGGAGTAGCAAGATATCCCTGTTATCTAGTGTGTTTATGAGACAGAAAAAGAAACCAGCAATCTTACCATCATGCAAAACAGTTACAGGTTTCTGTTTCAAAGTCATCTGGCAGGACGGTAGTATTTCCCTGGGTGGTTGCTGTCTACCAACTTACTACCTATATATGATTATATACACCTGGAAAATCCTAGAGGGACTAATACCAAACTTGCACGCGAAAATCACTCCCTACAAAAGCAAAAGACTCAGCAGACGATGCAACATCCCCCCAATGACAAGCTGGGGTGTCACTAGCACGTTAAGAGACAACACAATAAGTGTCAGGGGCCCAAGACTGTTCAACTGCCTCCCAGTATACATAAGGGGGATTACCAGTAGACCCCTGGCTGTCTTCAAGCAGGAACTGGACAAGTACCTAAAGTCGGTACCTAACCAGCAAGGCTGTGATTCGTACGTTAGATTGCGTGCAGCCAGCAGTAACAGCTTGGTTGATCAGGCCCTGATCCACCATGAGGCCTGGTCACAGACTGGGCCACAGGCACGTTGACCCCAGGAACTCTCTCCAGGCAAACACTTACTGCACAGACCTAGTCTGTCATACATAGGCCCAAATTTACCAGTCACAGCTTATGTGAGTGAGGTGAGCTCATGGCAACCAACAGTGGCTTCAAAGCCACCTTATCTTTTATGGACAATGTATGGTGTATGTGCTTTACACAATGAGAAGCATTTCTTTTATTCGTTAGAACCATGGCTAGGGCCAAAAGTGAGCAGGTTATAACAATACATGGAGAAAAAGAAATTGGAATGACTTATGCAGCAAGCAGCGCCACTGCACAGTAGCAGCAGGTTGGTGTGGAGACCCCAGAAATTTGAAATTATGCTGGCTGAAATTAGTGCCAGATTACTGATGGAACCTGATTTCTGACTGCTGGATTAGTGATGGCCAACCTGTACTACCAAGAAAGGCAGCCAAAGAAAGGATACAACAAGGAAAACACAGTCTTCTGTTTCCTCAATGACACTACTCTCAAGCCTATCTGGTTTACACACCCACACTGCATAAAATTAATTTAAATTTTGTTTTAAAGAGAATTAGTACTCACATGTGCTTCAAGAACCTTAAACCATTCTATAGCAATATCTTTATCCTCAAACTGAAGTAACACCTCAGTCTCATGGCCATTCCTCAACCCTATCACTTGCTGTCTGCTTGTCTTCTTGTCAGTAGTACGTTCCAGGTAGCATACTGGGTAAAATTCAAATACCTCTGCTTTCTGTAAAGAAAAAAATACGTATACATCTTTCTAGTTTCCTTGCCATGCTCATATTCACTTTACAGTTGTAATGAATTGTACAGTAAAAAATTAAGCACAAACAGTTTATGTAATAACTATATACAGTGGACCCCCGGTAAACGATATTTTTTCACTCCAGAAGTATGTTCAGGTGCCAGTACTGACCGAATTTGTTCCCATAAGGAATACTGTGAAGTAGATTAGTCCATTTCAGACCTCCAAACATACACGTACAAACGCACTTACATAAATACACTTACATAATTGGTCACATTCGGAGGTGATCGTTATGCGGGGGTCCACTGTATTTCATACTGGTACAGAGGAACCCCGAGTTTCGGTCACTGAGTATCAGCCGCTTTGAGTTTCGACTGCTTTTTTTCGGCCAAATTTTGTCCCAGGTTTCAGCTGTTGCCTTGTGTTTTGGCCGGCGTACCAAACCTGTCCACCTGTGCCCCTCCCCGTGCAGGCGTCGTGAGCCAGTCTAGCTTTGTTTATCCTTGAGTGAACATTACCCTGAGCACTCCTCCGAACATTTCACAATAAATTCATTGTGTTTAGTGCTTGTTTCTTTATTATGACTGTGAAATAAGCCACTGTGGGCCCAAAGAAACTTCATAGTGGCAGTGAGGCAGTGGTTGTGGCAGTGGTGGAGGCAGTGGTGGAAGCAATAATAAGTCCTCCCTCTCTCCTCCTCCCTATCTTCCTGATGCCAAGAAGAGTCTTCAATAAAGGTATGTAAATGTGATTTTAAATGTTTATTTAAATGTTTATGTATGTATTGAGGGTTCGAATAGTTTTAAAAATGCAGTATTAGAATGTGGGGCAGAAGTTTGTGGTTATAGGAGGGTGGGGGCAGGAGGAAAGAGGAGTGATTGGTGGAATGATGAAGTAAAGGGTGTGATAAAAGAGAAAAAGGTAGCTTATGAGAGGTTTTTACAAAGCAGAAGTATTATAAGAAGAGCAGAGTATATGGAGAGTAAAAGAAAGGTAAAGAGTGGTGAGAGAGTGCAAAAGGAGAGCAGATGATAGAGTGGGAGAGGCACTGTCAAGAAATTTTAATGAAAATAAGCAAAAATTTAGGGAGTGAGTTAAACAAGTTAAGAAAGCCTAGGGAAAGTATGGATTTTTTTTTTTTTTTTTCAACAAGTCGGCCATCTCCCACCGAGGCAGGGTGACCCAAAAAAAAGAAAGAAAATCCCCAAAAAGAAAATACTTTTCATCATTCAACACTTTCACCACACTCGCACATTATCACTGTTTTTGCAGAGGTGCTCAGAATACAACAGTTTAGAAGCATACACATATAAAGATACACAACATATCCCTCCAAACTGCCAATATCCCAATCCCCTCCTTTAAAGTGCAGGCATTGTACTTCCCATTTCCAGGACTCAAGTCCGACTATATGAAAATAACGGTTTCCCTGAATCCCTTCACCTAAATATTAACCCTGCTCACACGAAACCGATGATCAGGTCCAAAGTACCATTCGTCTCCATTCACTCCTATCTAACACGCTCACTCGCACGCTTGCTGGGAAGTCCAAGCCCCTTGCCCACAAAACCTCTTTTACCCCCTCTCTCCTACCCATTCGAGGACGACCCTACCCGCACTTCCTACACCTATAGATTTATATGCTTCAATGTCATTCTTCTTTGATCCATTCTCTCTAATGACAAATACCACTCAACAAAACCCTCTTCTTACCCTCTGACTAATACTTTTATTACTCCACACCTTCTCCTAATCTTCCCCACTCCGAATTTTCTGCATAATATTTACACCACAACATTGCCCCTAAACAGGCATCTCAAACTGCTTCCAACCGTCTCCTCGCTGCTGCATTTACCACCCAAGCTTTCACACCCATATACGAGTGTTGGTACTACTATACTTTCATACATTCCCTTCTTTGCTCCATAGATAACGTTTTTTGACTCCACATATACCTCAACGCCACTCTCACCTTTTTTCCTCAACATTACATGATAAACCTCATCCTTCATAAATCCATCCGCCGACTCGTCAAACTCCCAACTATCTGAAAAACGTTCAACTTCTTCCATACTCCTCTCCCCAAATTTGATATCCAAATTTTTTCTTATCTAAATCATTTGACACCCTCATCACCTTACTCTTTTTTTCTATGTTCACTTCAATTTCTACCTTTACACAAATTCCCAAACTCATCCACTACCTTTTGCAATTTCTTTAGAATCTCCCACTAAGGCACCAGTATTCATCAGAAAAGTAACTGTCAACTTCCCATTTGAATTGATTCCCAAAATTAATCCCCAACCCTCTCCCGAAAACCCTAGATTTACTTCCTTGACAAGCCCCATTATAAATATATTATAAACAACCATGGTGACATTACCATCCCTGTCTAAGGACCTACTTTCTACAGGAAGTAGTCTCCCTACTCTTCTACACACCCTAACCGGAGCCTCACTATCCTCATAAAAACTCTTTACGCAATTAAATAACTTTCCACCTATTCCATATACTTGCAACATCTGCACATTGCTCCCTTATCCACTATATATGCCTTTTCTAAATCCCATAATGCAATAAAAACTTCCCTACCTTTTTCTGAATACTTTCACATATTGCTTCAATGTAAAACTTGATCTACCACATCCCCTACCCTCTGAAACCTCCTTGCTCATCCGCCAATCCTACATTCTCTCTTGACTCTAATTCTTTCAATTATAAAAACCCTACCGTACACTTTTCCTGGGTATACTCAGTATTCTTATTCCTCTATAATTTTTTACAGTCTCTTTTGTCCCCTTCTCCCTTTATATAAAGGGACTATACATGCTCTCAGCCCCAATCCCTAGGTACCTTCCCCTCTTTCATACATGTATTTAACAAAAGTACACCACTCCAACACTAGATCCCCCCTGCTTTTACATTTCAGTCATGATCCCCATCAGTCCAGCTGCTTTACCCCTTTCATTTTACGTAATGCCTCACGTACCTCCCCCACACTTACATTCTGCTCTTCTTTCACTCCTAAAAAGTGGTATACCTCCCTGCCCCGACCAGTGCATGAAATTACTGCCTCTTTTCTTCCTTAAACATTTAAATGTTCCTCATAAATATTCTCGCCATCTACCCAATACCTCCATCTTCCCCATCTACTAACTCCCCTACTTGTTTTCTTACTGACAAATATATTTTTCCCTAGGCTTTCTTAACTTGTTTAACTCACTCCAAAATTTTTTCTTATTTTCATTAAAATTTCTTGACAGTGCCTCTCCCACTCTATCATCTGCTCTCCTTTTGCACTCTCTCACCACTCTCTTTACCTTTCTTTTACTCTCCATATACTCTGCTCTTCTTATAACACTTCTGCTTTGTAAAAACCTCTCATAAAAACAGAGTAGGGGAGTTAGTAGATGGGGAGATGGAGGTATTAGTTAGATGGCGAGAATATTTTGAGGAACTTTTAAATGTTAAGGAAGAAAGAGAGGCAGTAATTTCATGCACTGGTCAGGGAGGTATACCATCTTTTAGGAGTGAAGAAGAGCAGAATGTAAGTGTGGGGGAGGTATGCGAGGCATTACGTAAAATGAAAGGGGGTAAATCAGCAGGAACTGATGGGATCATGGCAGAAATGTTAAAAGTAGGGGAGATATAGTGTTGCGAGTGGTTGGTACTTTTGTTTAATTAAATGTAGGAAAGAGGGGAGGTACCTAGGGATTGGCAGACAGAGAGCATGTATAGTCCCTTTATATAAACGGGAATGGGGACAAAAGAGATTTAAAATTATAGAGAATAAGGTTTACTGAGTATTTTGTTTAACAGGAAAAGTGTACGGTAGGGTTATAATTGAAAGAATTAGAGGAAGACAGAATGTAGGATTGCAGATGAGCAAAGGAGGTTTTCAGAGTGGGAAGGGGATGTGTTAGATCAAGTGTTAACATTGAAGCACTATATGTGAACAGTTTTTAGCATAAAGGGAAGGGAGAAGTTTTGTTATTGCATTTAGGGATTTAGAAAAGGCATATGATAGAGTGGATAGAGGAGCAACTGTGGCAGCTGTTGCAAGTATATGGAATAGGTGGTAAGTTATTAAATGCTGTAAAGAGTTTTATGGGCATTAGTGACGGCTCAGGTTAGGGTGTGTAGAGAGGGGAAGACTACTTCCGGTAAGGTAGGTCTTAGGAGATGTGTAATGTCCCAAGCTCTGGTGGTTTAATTATATTTATAGATGGGGTTGTAAAAGAAAGTAAATGCTAGGGTGTTCGGGAGAGGGAATGGATTAAATTTTGGGGAATGAAATTCAAACAATGGGAATTGACACAAGTTACTTTTTGCTGGATGATATGTGCTTATGGGATTATAAAGAAAAATTGCAAAGGTTAGTGGATGAGTATCGAATGTGTGTAATGTAGAAAGTTGAAAGTGAACGCGTGAGACGGTGTTAGACTAGGACAGGTGAATGCAGGACGAATGGTACTTTGACCTGACGATCTGTTGAAGTGTGAGCAGGGTAAATCTTAGTTAAGGGATTAAGGGAAAACCGGTTATTTTATATAGCCGGACTTGAGTCCTGGAAATGGGAAGTACAATGGCCTGCACTTTAAAGGAGGGGTTTGGGATTTGGCAGTTTGGAGGGATATGTTGTTGTTTCTTTATATGTGTATGCTTAAACTGTTGTATTCAGAGACTCTGCAAAACAGTGATAATGTGCGAGTGTGGTTGAAAGTGTTGAATGATTGATGAAAGTATTTCTTTTTGGGGAGTTTTCTTCCTTTTTTGGGGTCACCCTGCCTCGGTGGGAGACGGCCGACTTGTTGAAAAAAAAAAAAACAAGTCCGTGTAGTCTGTAGCATGTACTCAAAGCTAGTAGAGGAAGAGCATTCCCAGTCATCCATTTTACAAACCTAGTCCGCCCACTGCGAATCTATAATTGTTCTTACTTGTCTCCTAATCCTGTACCAGTAGCGATGTGGCCGAAAGACACT